TTTGTCTGTCTGTCAGAACCTTGCGTAACAGTATTCGCTCACTACATGTGTGTTGGAATATGTCCCGCCATTTTTCACTTCAATCTCTCCTTAAAACTCTATTGTATACGCTGGAATACGTAATTTCCGTTCTGTAACCTCACTTTTTTTTCTCTGTGCAGTGCGCGTGGGATCGCTCGTTTAAGCTCGGTAATTTTTTACGTTTTGTACTTCAAGTAAGTTTTTACTATCGTTGCTATTTTTTCAGTATGCCTTCCATTTTTAAGCGTAATTGTTAAGTTCAAGGTTTGTTAGACGGTAAAGTTATTATATAATTATGTATTGTACAACAATTATGTGCATGTATTGTACAGCAAAAGATATATTGCGTATGATTTTCTGCCTAATCGTATTTGTTTCTTATTTGTATAACTTTAGGCAAATAGCCATCACGTACTTTGCCATAATCAAACAAACCAAACCTTATTTCTTAGACACCATTATTTATTTCATCCTACCTTAGGCCCACTAGCGGCCGAGTCGCTGGACACTCCTAGTTCGGTCCGATGCTCGAATCCCGCAAACAAGCTGGCTGCATGGGCGCCTACATGGTTTGCCCATGTGTAACGTGTATATGAGCCACTTTCCCTTAGAAAGTCCTCCAAAAAGGCACCCCTTCCCTTAGGCAGATAACCCGCGAGGGTTTGCCGCAATACCAAAAACCAAAACAAATCATCCTACCTTAAACTTTAATAATAATTTTCATTTTCTTATTTTTTGTTATTTCAGTTTTATTATACGTTCATTAACGCATATTCGTTTCTTCTTTATGATATCAACCATAGAGAGAGGGAGAGAAAAAGAAAAGCTGACGGTCGCTATTCCTATTACAATTCTTCTTACAAGAAAGTAAGGGATTTTATGCTGCTCATGTCATAGTAATTATTTAATTGTTTGCTACTGAAAGAATATTTTAAACAATTATATATATATTATTCTATCTATTTGAAAAAATGAATCTCTTTGTCCAAATGAAGATGGTGATTTTGATGAAATTACAGTAAAGGTTTTTCGTCAATTCCTTTAGCGAAAATTATTTAGATTCTTAATTTTCATGCATATAGAATGTATATATTATACTTGATTTTTTGAGGATAGCTGGGTTAGTTAAGAGAATTTAATTTTCCTAAAGGGTGAAGGGGTTAAAGCTTGTTCCTAAGAAAACCATTTGGGATGGTTTTACAGGAAAGTTAAGAAGGGGAAGGTTTGAGGGTGTGAAAAGTCTTATAGGTAAAGGTCTTGGTTTTTGTGTAGTAAGCGTAAGCTGGAAGAGGTATTTTAATTAATGTTTGAAATAGGGACACGTGTAAGTGCGATATCGCTGACGATTTTAACTTTTCCTCACCTACTCTTGCTGACTGGCCTCAGTTCATTGATGAAATGATTCTTAATCACGTTGAGCTGATGCCTGAGAAAACAGGTGGTAAGATTGTCGAAATTGATGAATCCAAGTTTGATAAAAGAAAGTGTAATAGAGCAGTGCTCCGGAACCGATGTGCCATGAGTAGGATATAGGTGTGCCGCAATCAAATACATGTATTTGACATTTTGCAATTTTTTATAATGTATTTAATACACAATGACAATTTTTTTTCTTTAATAATGTCTATTTTAAATGTTTTTATATATTTCACTGTTGTGTTATTGTGTGTGTGATTGTAAGTGTGTCAGCATTTGAATTTTTTTCGGCACTTCCTTGATAACTCGGAACTCTTTGGTGTGCCACGAAATTCCAGAAAGATTTTTTGTGTGCCGCAGGTGAGAAAAGGTTGCAGAGCACTGTAATAGAGGACATTGAGTGGAGGGTCAGTGGGATTTTGGCACGGCGGAGAGAGGACTCGAAAAACGTTTTCTGTTTGCAGTATTTAATAGCACTTAGAGAAACATTATTCAATGTCATTGAAGAATGGATAGAACCAGATAGTTTTAATTTATAATGATTGCTGGAAGGTATATGATATAATTTCACTTGAAGAATTGGATCACATAAAAGTTAAGCATTCAATTCATTTTAAGAATTTTGAAGCAGAGTGTCACACAAGCATAATTGAAAGCACTTGAGACTACTAAATAATTTCTTACATCGGAAAACATGCCCAGCATCACAAAGTTTACGACCGTCAAATTCCGTCCCCTAGAAGAAAATGAAAAGAATCTGTGTGTGAGTTTTTGACCTCCTTTTTTTTTGATGTAAATTAAATTTGAAAGAATGTTTAAATTCAAGGTTTAAATGCTGTTTGATTTATTTCTCGTTCCTCTGCTTTAAGGAACATATTTATTACAAAACAATACCTAGTGAACATTTTTTAGCTATTTACTAATACTCTCACATTTTCAATTGGTAACACAGTTCATGATAGAACAGCAGTAGAACGTCATATTTTCATGTTTTCCCTTAGTTTTAAAATTTTTATTTTACTATGTGTTTTGCTTTTTTTTTTTTTTTTATTTCAAACAATGTTAAGTTATTGTCTCGAAATCAGATTCAAACTATTACGAGCTAGACTATTGCTTACAAGTGATATATCGAATGACCTTCCTCGTGAGTTACTTTCTGCTTACTGATTTTCAATTTGCTGTGTTTTAAGAAATGTATTGTGTAATTGCCTGCTGATTACCATTTTATATATTAGTTTTTTTTTATGATTTTTAACTGTTCCTAGTAAAAATTCACAAAATTGTATGAAATAAACTGAACATGAATTCACGGTCTCAAGATTTAAATTATGTTGTTTATGATTAATTAATCGTGAATTAAATATGACTTTCTATTCATGTACTGATACATGAATTTCTTGATAACAATATCACAAAATACTTTTATAGGTAAAGAAGTCCGAGATTCAGTGTTTTTTTGAAAGCAAACCTGGTGGTTGCAAAAATCCTTATTGCGCTTACTTTCACCAAAAACTAGGCTGGGAACTAAAGGTAAGTTAATAATTTTACTTGTTCGTTTCTATATTTATCTTCAATATAGGTACCCTGTATATTAGTACTTATTAACAAAATATTTTCGTCTTATTTTTAATTTAAAAGGAAGATAAATCATTTCTGTATATGATCTTTATTTGAAAAATGCCCATTATTTAAATTGAATTATTTAGGAGAGGAAAGTAGGAGTCTTTCATATCGTCTTGGGATTTAAATGAATGTTGCATTTAAAAAGTACTGTAATTTTGAGCTTTTCATCGCATTGATGTTTTGATTTCTGTCGATCCACTTTATGACCGCTTCGCTCTGAAACAGATAACAGCTTAGACTTGTTGAGAGTGGTGCCAGTGTTTCTTAGTACAAGAGTATCTTTGCTATGTGCACAAATTTAGGTTATGTACAAGTATCCAACTGAATGTATCAATCATTTTTAAATTTTGTAATGATCAGATATGAATAAAATTAGTAGACTTGTACTTTCATATAAAGACTGAATGTCTTATAAATTTGGACACATTTTAAAAAATCATATATAATCAGTAAATTTGTGCATTTCATTTCCTAATTAATGCATAATGTGATTTGCATCTAAAGAGTTTATATGAAGGCATGTGTTTTTTAAAACAATGACTTGTAATTTCTTTAAATTTTTTGCTAATATATAACAGTTTATCATTAAAAATTATGTAAATATTGGTACTTTTCTGTTATCAAGACCGGATTCAGAAGTGTGTATATATATGCACTTCAATATAGACATGTGTATGTATGCATAGATGTATATGTGCACACACAGATACAAAGCCTAAAGTAATACAGGGTGGTACATGCACATATACACACATACAATGAACACATCCATCCATACATAAATTTCTGGACAGGGTCCTGATAACAGAACAGCATATAAATATCTTACCTTATTTTTTCCTCAAATACCTATCTACATCTCGAATTCACATATAAAAGCCGAAAACAGATGTGTTTAATTAATAAAGAATAGCTGAACTTGACATCTGTACGAATATCCGAGTGGTCAAGACCGTTGAATATTGGGAATTCAACCCCGGATCAATCTCAGGCAGACAGACCTACAGCTATAGAGGGCCCAGGACGTTAAATCCTCCTTATTGAAATGATCACTATACAAAATGTTAACAGAAATATACGTTTATCATGTATTTAATTCAAAATTAAATAATTAAAATGATTTGGAAAACAAAAAATCTTAAGACGAAAGAAAACAAGAACATGCATCTAGCAAACAAACATATATTTAAAAGATGGTATTATTTTGCTATTTTTTATTTTGAAAATTATTTTTAATTTTCTCTCCATAAAAAGCTAAGACTACTTTTTGCGAGCTTTCAATTCTTAAAATATTTTTATAGTTTCATCAAAATTAATGTTTTCAGTGCAAAGAGTGGAAAAATTAAGTCTTGCATTTGCATGGCAAATGATTAAATCTTCGATCAAACATAGGCTTTAATCAAATTAAAGCTTCTCTTGAAAGCAGCAGCTGAAACAAACACTGTCAAAAACGTCTTTAATACCCAATATGAGCCTTGAAAATCCACCTCCACAATAAATTTGAATGTTTTCTGCCCAGACCACCTTTTTAAAATTTGTCGTTTTTTCATATTCCCGTGTAAAGGTACATGTTCTTAAAAACGTAACTGTTCTTCAATGCCCCTCCCTGTTCAGAGACTTGAGTATTCCGTTCCCTTTCTCTTTGCTCCTGCACAAAGGCATCCTCCTGATCCACAAAGTTTTCAGCATCCCTCTCCTTAGATAATTCTTTTTGAATTTTTTGGATTTGTAGTATTCAGATAACTAATCTAAACTCTCCTTTGCCGAGAACTAAAAAAAATTAGTGCAAAGTTTGAATTTCCTTACAGATCCAAATTTTCAGTTTAGTAATTTTGCATAAAAGTTTTAATTATTATTAAGTATGTTAAATATTATAATAAAAAGGATTATGCTAATAAACAGTAAAGTCTATAAAGAATATATAGTAAATTGGTTCATAGCAATAAACTTTTGTAGACCACTTCTAAAGACAGCAAATATTTCTTGAAGGATAAACTAATACTGGTATTGAATGTCGGTTTCCTAATTTTAGCACACTTTTTACATAAGTGCTAACTACACCTCTTGTAGTTGATTTTAGAGAGTTAAAATTAAAACATAAAATTTAATAGAAAAATAGTTAGAGTTAAAATTAAAACATGTAATGCAACACAATAATACAGTTAAAACTCTTATTACAGAGTTTTCACTGTATTATTGTGTTGCATTACAATTTTGATATAATTGCTATCATGAATGTGTACAAATTCATCTGAAAATGGTTTAAGCCCTATTAGATTTAAAATGGTTTAAAATCAGTGAAATGCTTCATTATAATTAGTTGAGATTTCTTCATCCTAAGATGGAAATTTAAAAACTGTTTTCATCAGTGATTGATTGAACCATCTCCTTTCCATTAAATCATCCCGCAGTATTTTAGGAATAATTCCGTGTATTCCAAGTTTTAATTATAAGTTTATTTACAAATAAAAGTTACCTTTGAGACAAATACCTGTGAATTTGAGATTGTATTTAACATCTGAGTACCTTAAAAATCAATTCTTTGAAATCTTGTCCCTTAAAAATAAAAAATAAAACAAAATTGTGGTAAGGGGTTCAAAAAAAAAAAAAAAAAACTTCAAATATTTTATCAAGCCACCATTATCTTAGAATAGAAAATAATAAAAAAATAGAAAAAAAAAAAAACATTATTGTGTCAAAGCACCCTTTAAAGCCATTACAGTTTATGAAGGCGCAAGCATCTTCATGACAGTACAAGGCTTTTCATAAAAGTTTGAACACTTTTATGCAAATTCATTGGTTTTCATAAAAGTGCTATGAATTTGTTTCTTCCTTGCTGAATTAGAAAATCAAAATAGAGAAGTAAGTCTTGCATAATTCTGGTTCGGTAAAAGGTTAGTTTTTTCAAATTATAAATTTATCTTCATAAAGGTGTGGGCAAATTTTCTGACAGAGATTTCTGTCTTCTGAACAGTGCAACAAGGTTTAAGCACTTTTATGATGAAGTATCATTAAGTAGAGCTGTTCTGTTTATTGTGCAATCTTAGGTATTATTCATACTGGATATTTTGTAAAATTGTGCTTCAAAGCCTTTTCTCAGTACTGTCAAAAGTCGTTAATCCAGACTTCTCGGGACTTTGGCGATTCCAGATTATCGATTTTTCCGGATTATAGATCATCAGTTTATAGTGGATAGTTTATAAGGATAGTGGTAAGATGGCATGCAGAAATTATAAAATTAAAAATATGAAACCGTAATTTATGAAATAAAGAACAATTATGATATGAAGGGTATCAAAATTTACAAAAAAGCTTAATATTTATTTGTTTACATTATTAAACATTTCTTTCAACGTAAGTTGTTTAAGTTGCTATGTATTTATGTGATAATATATTCTCCTTAATTCTATACTCGGATGTAATTTCTTGTTCAGTTACAAAGTTCCGCTGTTCAAGTTTTATAATTGCTGTGTCGAGAATACCAACTAATTTGTCAATCGAAATTTTTTCATTTTCGATAGCCTCTGTCACTTTCTTCGCTATCGGAAGCGAATTATAATGACGAGGAATTTCGATTTAAATCATATCAAAGATGCAGTACATCGAGATGAAATACTAACATTTAGTAAAGGAATTATAAGCCAAATAAAATAAAAACATCTGCCCTGAAGATAAGGATAGTGCTGACAGATCATTCATTGCGCGCAGCGGCGTTAAAGATAAACAAAGTTTAAAGTTTAGATAAACAAAGGATTTGCCTTTATCCATTTTTTGCAGCAATTCCACTTTTTGCTTAATAGACTTCGAAACATACTTTCGCTTTTTAGATCCTTTACATATCGGTAAATGTATATCAGAAATTCTTTTTGACATAATCGAAAGTTCAAGCTTACTATTATAAAATTGCTCTAACAATCTGCAAAAAATAATAAGCCGAATCCAATTCGAAGATAAGGAACAACGCAATCTGCAACATTAACTGAATTAGATAATTTTAGCTTAGCTTATACCTGTCCGTTATACATTAAACGCGCATTCCTAAACGTATTTTGCACATGCGCACACGCATATTCGCAGCCGTAAAGGTCTTACACGCATGCGTCAAACCGACGCATGCACAGAAAGTTTGTAGCTTTGAGGTCCAGATTATGGGTGTCTGAATTAACGACTTTTGACTGTATATGCTAATGGTGTATATATTTATGAGCTGTGCAATAGCAAAAATAATTAAATGTTGATCATGAATGAGATTTGCAAGAGAAAAATTCAAAATGTTTTGAATTCTTGATTTTCGTTTGCCGAGTTAGGTTTCAAGATAAACTCATCTGTTACATTTGATAAATTTGAAACAAATAAAATTATTATAATACAGTTCTGATAATCCATGATTGTTTAAGCTCTGATTGCTCTATCTGCTTTCAGTCTTGAATTTTACCAAACAAAATTCTTATATTCGGATCTAAAGAAAGTTTAATGCTGCATATACTGTAGAAGTATTAGGTTATTGTGAAGCAAGAGGTACAGTGAAAAATATGTTATGCCTTCACTGGGACTCAAACTTGGACTTCTCGAATATGCACCAAATGTGCTACCATTACACCACAAAACCATACTAGAAGGAGGGAGACAGTACCGTATAATACTACATTACATCTTGGTTATGCTACAGCATTAAATACATTATTGTTATTTCATAGAAATAAAAGTTTAATTGTGATACTGCATTCTATTGTAAATTCTGTACATTATTGCTAAATTCTGTCAGAGGCCGCGTAACTCCTTGATTTCTCAGTTTTCATAACTCAAAGGCCCAGATGTAACTCAGTCATAACTCAAAAAAGTTAAAAACCCAATCATAACTCAGTCCCAGATATGGTGAGATCTGGTATTTTTTGTTTATTATTGCGTTATTTGTCATTACTTTAACTTGAACTAAAAAAATATATTATGTAACACCATAGAAACAAGTTTCTTTCATCTTCTTGTAGGATTGTTTAATCCCCCCCCTCAAAACCTGATTGTGAATTTCACTTCCTGTTGGTGGTAAAAGCTGGAAATAATCTTGTCTTTTCATTAAAATTGTTTTGTTATAAAACATGAAATATGACATTTAAACTATCTTTTGAGTATTATTTTAGTTATATGTATATCTACATTTTTCCTTGATCATTTTTAGTTCTTTGAGGGTTATTATATAAAGATTCAGCAGTCTATGTATGATATACTTAATCTATTTTTCAGTTAAGTCACCTGAGGAAAAGTTGTCAGATCCTAAAGAAGAAACTAAGGCTACAACTCTTAATGGGATGAATTATTCCCTTCACATGAAGACTGATTTACCTGATAGCTGTAGCAAAACAGATCTTGGTGAAAGTGAGCTTTCTTCATATTTTTAATGGGCATGCGTAAAACTGCAATATTTTTCTTTAAAAGTACAGGTTTTTATACAGTATGCATAGTAACACTGGAAAACTAAAATTTAGAGTAGATGACCTGTTTAATAGAATTTTTGCATTATGTTTATTAACTTTTAATATGCATGTGCTGAAGTAATAATAATCATGTTGCATGAGACCTTGTCATTATTTTAAGATGGCAAATTATTGTCATGAGTTAAATGTGTATGTATTGAATGTATCAATCTAATTTTAAAATCCTGAATATTGGAATAAAAGTTTGTAAGGCAATAGAAAGCATTTTAATTTTAGAAAAATTATAAATAAAATTTCAAACAATCAATTACAACAATCAAGACAATGTAGCCTGTTTTATGCAGTTGTATAATAATTGCATTCAAATTAATTATTCTAAATTAAACAAAGTTATTGCTATTAAATACTGTAAAAGGAATTAAAAGCAGGATCTTATTGAAACCATGTTGCTTAGATTCTGATGTCATTAACAGTTAGGATATTAAGTAATAAGTTTGTACTTCAAATCTGATGTTAAATTACTATATGTCTTGTACCTAAGATACTTATATCAACTTGTTCTATTAAACATTTTATCATGAATTATGCCATTTCATATACTATGTAATTTTTATTTAATGAACATACAGTTTAAATATTAAGTACTTTTAATTTTTACCTAAAATGTTAAAATATACAGAAATAAAATCACACAGTTTAAATTAAAAACAAGTTCCAAAGTTGAAATGAATCATACTAGAATACAAAACAACACATTTTCACCGGTAATTTTTAAACTAAAAGTGCAGTAATATTTCCATTACTGTGGAATTCCAAAATGTAGTTTCGATAGCATGATAAAAGTAAAACAAATAAAGAAAATATGTAAACAAATGCACATGTAGTTTCTTTCATGTTAATGCTTATTGCATATTGCAAATAGCCACAAACTCAATATTAAAATGCAACCTGACTATTTACTGAAAGCATGTAATATTATGAATAAATATAAGAGACAACAATCAAGAGCATACATTAATCACTGTAATCTCCCCCAACTTGCAGAACATTCAACTTACATAAATTAGCAGTTTTGTGAAGACACAAAAGCCATATATTCAAACTGAGACCAGTTGTTGAGAAATAAGGATCCCCGAAAATAAACAATTTTTCTTTCTTCTTGCATTCAAAGAATATCTGAGAGCTTACTTTAATTACTTGCTTTTTAGCATTTGTATTTGTTGTTAATTTACTCTTGAAATGGATTTGAAATGAAATACAAAATACTTCTAAAAAACTGCAATTGACTTGGAAGAAAAGTTGAAAATTATTTGCCTATATGAAAGTGATCTGTGCCAGTACTGAATATGATAGTGAAGCATAAGATACTAAAAGTGTGAAAGGTGCATTAATGATGAAGAGCACAATCATACCAAGAAAGAATTGGGCCAAATTTCAGTGGTTGAGTAATTGCTATCTATCTGGATTGAGGTTGTAATAGCGAAACAGGTGTCATTTTATTATTTTGTTTTATTATCCAAGAGAATGGTATGTATAATCCATGTAGAAAGATTTACATGAGATGGCTGGCTAGTGGTTCCAGAATATTAGCTACTGTATCCATTCTGAAATATCATAACTACAAGGCATTCCCGAAGAAAAATGTGTATGATCGCACTGTCTATTACATACATATTTGTGACATGCCAGATGACACCATTATAATACTCAAATGATTCTGACTAGACTTAAATATGGAGATGGGTAAAACTTGCCGAAGAATGGCATTTTTTCTCACCAACGCCCACCTCCACTGCTGACTATCTCACTGCAGAGCTAAATTTGCTAGCATTAGAAGCCAGTGCAACCTTTGTTTTCTAAAACATGAATTCTGTAAGAAACTAAATAAAGTCTTCATTTTAAAGAGTTTAAATCGATCGAAGCATTTCCCAATAGTCAGCATAATAATATTCGTGATTTAATCTATCAATCTCGAGAAACATATGGAGTCTAACTTTTTTTGTATTTTATTTTTATAATAAGTTTGAGATCATAAATAATGAGTAATTTCAAAAATAATTTTAATACTACTTAATCTAGCAGAGAAATTTTATTGCCATTACTCAATTTGAAAATAACATCTCAAGATTTCTGAAAAGTTCATAAAATTAACGGAAGTGCTACATTCATTATGAATTCTTTAATGTCACTTCTCTGGAATTGGAATGCAAATCACAAGATTGACTTAAACTCGTATTGACAGTTTGGCATCATTCTTCTTACTTGAGTGAATGACAAAACACCTTTGCATTTATTAATTGTTAATTGAACGTGAGTTGGTTTGTTCCTCTTCAGAAGTCGACCAATGACGATAATTACTTAGTTTATTTAATTTTCATTAAAAAAACTACGTTTCTATATTTCATGATTAAAATTCAATTTACTTTAAAAATGCTATTGGGAGATAATATTATATATAAATATTTTTAAATTTAAATAGCTTTGCTTGAAGCTTTCTGCTCAATATTTGCTTGTGATAAATATCTGCTTTCTGCACCCCATGTGAAAGCTTAGCAGATCAGCTGTGTTGCTTATTAATAATTTTGGAGGCTTATAAAGAATTTTGCATTATTGTACAATTCTTATTTCAATTATTATAATATATTGTTCTAGCTAATTTTCAAAGGAATATTTGAGACAATTGTGTTTGTTTAAAAAAAGTGGTATTATGTTTGAGTTTTGCTAATTAAGTTGATTTGAATTTGCATCTTAACTATATCCTCATTTTGTCACGATGCTCACTCATTCTAAAAATTAGGCAGACTTGAGTGGGGCAAGCTGTTTGGTGTAAGGTTAGAGAAACATTTTGTAACTGTATGAGTGTTTGAATTAACATGGACTGCCTGCCATCTGGTTTATCACTTGCTTCTACCTTGCATACGACTAAAGCCTAAAGGTAAACTTGATTGGTGGTAGGTTCAGATTCTGAATTGTTATTATTAGATACCTGCAAATTGCCTATATTAAAACTTGGTTAGATAGTGTACTTACAAAAAGTTTTAAAGCTAAGTTTGTGTTCACAGCCATATTCGGGCAACTGGTAACCTTGCGTTTTATATTTTTAAAATTAAGCCTCACAGGTAGTAAGGTAGAATAAATTTAGAGTAATATCTGTGTCTATGTGTACTTGCTTATGTAGCAAGTTTCATAGTGAAAACTTCCCTCATTGGTAAACTGTATGCAGATGGTTAAGATTAGATCAAATCCAAGATATATGTTGACTGTTTAAATCTTGATTGAAATTGACTGTTTAAATCTGAATTTTAATTTGCATATTTAGAAATATTTTGTAAGTGTTTACCTGAAATTTATTATAAATTTGCAAGTGAAATAAATGTATATTTTCAAATTTAATACTTTTCCTGTAATTGTAATTTATGGTTACGGTAAATAATTACACCGGTACTTTTCCGTTTTGCCGGCGCAAACGATAAAGTCGCCAATAATGGTAGAACTGATGCCAAACGGAATATCTTCGCTGGTAACCTTTAACGCCTCATTTTCAAAACAAGTCGCAGCCATTTCTTACCAGATTGATTGTTTCTTTCAATACTGGCAAACAATTACATAGAATAGTTACAAAGAAAATTAAACTTTATGCCCTAAGACCATTAGCGGTAATTAAGTCAATTAGGATGTAATCACACCGCTCGCCCGAAGGCGAAAATATAGAAAAGGCAAAATTAAGGGTTAAATTCATCAATTCTAATGAGAATGCACTAGGGAAGTAGAGCACTGAGTAAGCTATTCGTACGAATTGAAATAATTCTTGCATTTAAACTTGTATTCCAAATTAAGATTTAACTTGAAATTAATGTAGATAATTACTGAGAGAATTATATATTTGTAAAGTAGCTTACGTGAGATGAGATCACTTGGGGTCACGTGATACGAACCGGTGAATCAGGATGTAGAACCATGATAGCATAGTAAATTCTTAAATTAATGTTTTTTACGAATTTATTGCCTTTATTTATTGGCTTTTTACAAAATTTTAAACCATATTAAAATGTTTATACCTTTAAAATAATAAATTCTTAGAAGTAACATTTGTTAAAATTTTTTATGTGCATACTGTATGTTGTCGCCAACAAAGTCTGCTTGGCGAGTTTTGCGCCGGCGAAACGGGAAAGTACCGTAACACCTCAATTTAAAGATGTAATAACTGAATGATATCAAATGATTAACTGATAATCGAAACATTTTTAATAAGTTTGTGAAATGTAATAAAAATGAAACATTTTTATTAATTTATCAAGCAATTTAATATACATATTGTAATTTTAAGGAAATAGATATTCAGAGTTCGTACGGTCCTTAAATTTTTCAAAAATGATTTTTGGTCCTTAAAAGTCCTTATTTTTGGTCAAAATGAATAAACGGTCCTTAATTTTGCTCATTTGACATTTCTTATCATTTTTAATGATTGCCATTATAAGTGTGAAATGCGATTTCTCATGAATATGGAATTAAAATTACACGGCTCTTAAGCAATCTGTTGGCGGATTTGCATTGCAAATGATAAAAAAACAATTAGCTACCCTAGGACGAAAGTATCGGGTGTCTGATTGGCTATTCACCCAATCTTTCGAAACAGGTGTTATCCATAAATTTATGCAGATTGTGATGAAAGCGTGAAGCCGGAAGTTCTTTAAGAGGCGAAAGTAATGATGAAGGTGCTCGAGGAAAAAAAAGGGGGGGGATTCTGAAAATATTTGCCGAAATTAGAACAATTCCAACCTGGAAGGCCACAACCCCTTCGACGCCAATAGGAATGAGATGCCTGGAAAGTGCATTTTCAATAAACTGTGACTTCATCAAGCTGACTACAAAGACTGGATATTGATGGATGACAATCCTTATAAAGCTAAATGTGGTCTTTGTCTGAAAAAAATTGAAATTTCTAGAATGGGAGAGTCAGCTCTGAAAATTCACATGAAAATTAAGTTTTGTTTTATCATTTCAATTTGTTTTTACACAGTTATGCTTACCTTAATTTCTGTGTTTGTTTGAATTAAGCCATAAATTAACTTTTGATCACCTTCTATGGAGTTTATTCTCTTTTGCACATATATATATGGGATATCGGAATTATGAGTTTATTTCTGCAGAGGGTCTGTTATCGATTTCGCGGGAAATCTATTGGCTTCATTTCAATTTTAGGTCACCAAGTGCAAATTCGGTAACGCTAGCCGAAAAAATGTGAAGTTCGGAAATATGTTTTGAAGCTTCAATAGACAATTAAGTACTCTTAAAGAAAGTTTAATCCTATGCACAAGGTATCCGTTGCATAAGGGATTTGGCTACTTTTGGCAACTTTATGATGAGCAGTAAACGAGACATATACGATGAGTAGTTAAACGAGTCATTTTGGTGTTGGTGATAATTTTCAAAATTGCACCAAGGCTGCACCGTATACTAGAATTTTTATTAAGTATTTTTATAAAAGGAATACTGCTTTCAGAAGAATGTTATTGAATTTTAATATCGCATCAGTTATCCAAATAGTTGGTCGATATAAAATTTCATTGTGATAATGATTGAAATTATCTTTTGTTATTAAGCTAATTTCACCTATTTATAACTAGAAATTAAAATGAAAGCTAAATCCTGAATAAAAAGTCAGTGTTGAAATAAGGGAAAAATAAAAGAAACGGAAGATTAATAAATTAAAAGAAAATGACCGATAAGCGGAATGGTTGCTACACGGAGAAAATGTGTTCATGGTATTGCCAATATAGCATTCTTATGGCAATTTTAGCGATGTAACGGAATCTGTGCAGGAATGCTTGCCTAGAATATTTCGCGATGTCTCAATTTTTTATCGATATAGTACATTTTTTAAGTGTTAAAATATAATGAGTAAGAAAAATTCATGCATTTTTGTTTAACATAATAAAAATAAAACAATAAAGCCAATAATAAAAATTATTGCAGAATTTTTATCTTTGCTCCATCATCTGATAGATAAAGAAATGATGTTTTAATTAAAATTTTCTGCTGTGAAATTCTGCTTTTACCGATGGTTTCAAAATGTCCCAGCAGTAGAAAGAGCCATTGAAATATGAGATGACTTGCTACTATACGTTAAAAACGTTGAAATGGGGCAGTTTAAAAAAAATTCATTGAAATCCTTCTCAAATATTTTGGAGGCAACTAAGGATAAAACATTTCTTATAAAATTAAATTTTTTTCTCTCTCTGTCGAAAATATTATTGCCTTTCCTTGAATATTATCAAAGCGATAAACCACTTATTCCCGTTTTTTTGCTGAAGATATTAAAACTTGTAAATGATTGCTTTTAGCACTTTAAAATTTTGAAACTAGAATATTCAAAAATAATTAAAGCAGAAAATCTTTATAAATTTAATTTTAATGATCCAAATTGTTATAATGATAAAAGTAAAGTTTATTTGGGATTCATTGGTGAGTAGTTAATGAATGATAAATGCCGCAAGAAGGACATTTCACAAGCTGCAAGTTTTGCATTGAAACAAGGTCAACAATGTGTCTTAACAATGGTACAACACTTAATGGCTAAATGTCCAATAAATTATTCTCTTATTCGAAATGCATCTTGTGTATACCCACAGTTGATGGCTAAAAGTCCAGAAAAAGCCCAGAACAAAATGAAAATAGTTCTAACCGTATTAACGCGGAATAAACATGTTTTACAAGATAATTGTGGTGAAATTCTGCTGCAGTTTGGAGAGATTCTAGACAAAGTAGTTCAGAGAAATTTACATGAATTTTCTACTTTTGATTCTCAAAATCTTTCTCTTGACACATTTCTGACTTCTTATTTTCATGATTTCCACTATTCTAAAGTATGAAAAATAGTGAAAATGATTCTTATCTTGTCACATGGACAGGCCTTTGTGGAAAGGGGCTTCTCTGTAAATAAAGCAGTTGAAATTGAAAATTTAAGTGACTCATCATACATTTCTCAACGCACAGTATTTGATTACATAAAATTTTCTGGAGGTATTCTTAATATCGAAATTAATAAAGAAATGAGATCAGCAGCAGCTTCGATAGATGCTTTTAGCAGATGAAGCCGAGACGAGCAGGAACATTGATTTGTTTATCAAAACATATGAACTTAGAAGAATAGTTAAAGAAAAGGAAATAGACATAAATAAATTAGATGTTAAAATATCTGAAAAATTTTCAGATTTTAAAAAGCATAAATGTTTTGTATCTTTTTATTGCATAGTTTATTATTCTAGTATCTTTCAAAAAACCAAAGAAATGTATGTTTACATATCTGTTATTTTAATCTGCAAAATATTCTTACATTGCAATTATAATAGTAGTTGACTGTGTTTAAATAAATATCAAATAAGTTAAATAATAATCATGTAAATCTCTAAAATATCGGTGGCTGTTATTACTGTGAAATACACTTATGCAAATTTTTCAAGAAATTATGTTCTTAATTTAATGTTATCTTCATAACTTGTAGGGAGTTAGTTTAATTTTCAAAATTGTTTTATGTTAAGTATTAAGTTTAATTTTGAAAATTGTTTTATGTTAAGTATTAAATTGAATTTACTAATAGTGCATAATACACACTTCTGTTACTTTCTTAAATGGATAATTGCTTTATTCTATTCGTTTTTTTTTTTTTTTTTTCCCTGATAGGTCCTTAATTTTTTTCTTTGATGGTCCTTAAAAGTCCTTAATTTTCATGTAAGGAAATGTGTACGAACCCTGATATTGTAATTTTAAAGAAAATAAATTGTTATTTCGCAGAAATATTTATACATTAAATTTTTAGAAGTTGAGAACATCAATCCTGAAGCAGAGAAGCTCCCTCGTTTACAGGAGATTTTAAAAAGGGATGATATATTTTCCACACCTGGTAAAGAATTTATGATTATTTGAATTTCCTTTTAGCTTTAATTTTTATTGGAAATATTCTTACACAAAATTTGAACACTTTTTCCTAGTAGCATTCTTTTCCTTATTTTTTCATGTTTCTTAATTTACAGATCCAGTTGAAATTTAACTTTAAGCATACATGCTGTATATTTATTCTTTTGTTTATTGAATATCGATTGTGATTTATGTGGCAGATCTGTATTTTATTGGTAATATGCAGTTTTTTAAACCAATATTCCTATAATTTATCAGAAAGTTTATTTATGTTCTTATTTTTTAAAATGGAAATCGTTAAAAAGTGGATACTTAAAGTTCATGTCCCTAGGAAATTAAGTAAGTTCTTGATTTTTTATTTTGTTGATTGATATGCAATTTCTGATTACCCACCTATTAATAAAATACAGTGTCATATGCTTTCACAATAAATTTTTCGCGATAAAGTCCTTTTCCAGTCATGTTTGCAATACTAAACAAGTAAATTAAAAATTTTCATTAGAGAAATCATTTATGTTCTTTTTGATTGCTTAGTGAATGAGCCCATGTGTTAGTTTGTTCCGAAAATGTTAAAATTTTAGTACACTTCAATTAAAATTTTGACTTTTAGAGTCTTTATTCTAAAGAAAAGATTTGAAATATTGAGTGACAAGAAATTAAAAATTAAGGAGATAGAAGCAAGATTGGATCTACATAAAATAATTGTTTTTGCGCATTCTTCAGGAACATTTTCAGATGAAAAAGTCGCTGGATACCTTTATTCAGCAGTTTCAAAAACAGAATTGTAAGTTTAAGGATTTTAATCAGCTCTTGTGACGTTCAGAATTAGCTCCAGTTATCTCTTTTTAAACTGAAATCTTAATTTCATAGGAAGAGATCATGCTGATGATGACATCAAACATATAACTATGGAATATTTTGAAAATAACTTTCAGACTGAATTCCAGACGCAGAGTTGCTCATTTAACGACATGAACAGTGTTTCAATGAACAAGAAAATAATAATTTTTATAGAAGTATTTTAGGCAGGAAATGTTTAGATTTAGCTATGTATGTGAAAAAGTGGTGTATGTTAGAATCATGTAGTGAATAAATGTTGCGAATGAATACAAGAAATAATTCTTGTTAATTTTAAGATTAAGCAGAGATATACAATTACTATTTATAGTATTATGGCAGTACAGTTCATATTATGAATTATATATACTAGTTCTCATTCTATGATTCATATTGAAATCATCATTCTACTAGAGATAAAAAGCAAAAAAAAAACTAGAAATTAATTTTGAAATAAAAATAAAAATATCATTTTAGGATGTTTTTACATCACTGCAGATTTTGCATTCTTTGAACATGTACCAAGTGTTAATGAAATACAAACACTTTAGATCAATTAATAGTGATTGATTTCATTTTGAGAAATATTTTTTTTTTCTCATCAACAATGAAAAGTGATAATTCAATGTATAGATATTAAAATTTTTTCTCTGATGCACTTACTTTCTATTACTTCTTGGCTTATCAACTTTGTTATTATTTTAGAAAATTTGCTGTGGTATCAAAATTGTTTTCTTTGCACACAGTTGCATTGTAAAACTTTGCTACATTTATTCAGTGATAAAGTGGCTTTTAAGAAAATGTGATGTCATTATAAATCTACCTCATTCCTGTAAACTTTTATGCATGTCCATTATTTACATATACCTGTGTATTCACCTCATTATTTTCTGTTATGCATGAATGAGATTTTTAATGCTAATATTGCTATTTATAAAATGTTATATGAATTTAAATTTATGAAAATTGTCATAAAGAAAACATTATCCATAACATTTTTCAAAATAATTAGCATGCATTTTTTATTTATGTGTTATATCACCATTTTAATTAAAGTGATTTTAGATAATATATCATGGAACACGCACGCATTTAGGAAAATAATAATGTTTTGTACTAATTCTGGACACAGTTTTGAAGTTTTTACTTTCCTTTCTTGCAGAATTTCCATGGAAGTCTAAAGCTGAAAACTTCTTTCAGTCTATTTATAATAAACTTCTTTTCAGTCTATTTATAATAAATATATATTAAATAAACTGAATATATAAAATATTCAGTTTATTTATAATAAAATAGAACTTAATATTCTACTAGAAATCATGTCTCTTTCAACATTATTAATAAATATATTTTCTTTGTAAAGACATGCATGGCTAAAACTGAAATTATGAAAAATATTTTATTGCATTTAAATATGTTATTAAAGACTTGTATATTATGTATTCACATCCTTATAATCTTTCATTTCTATTTTCAGGGCGACAAACTCCGTATAAATACATACGTCTTTCGTAGCTGCGTGAGAGCGTTCTCATCATCTCTGATAAGATTTTTTTTATGTTCAAGATGATTTTTGTTATGAAATATAAGGGAAATAGGTCTATTGGAGAACCCGCCCAAAAAGGGGTAACGCGCCTAGCATCATACCTCAAAGGTGGTGTGGAAAATGGTGCAGTTTTTAGATTATATTTTTGCATTTGTATAGTTCACGTGAGAAAAGATTTTTCCCCCTTAGTATACATTAGAGGAGATAAAAATGAAGATTGTGATGCACCAAATCAAGTGTGCTACAAATAATAGTTGAACTTTAACACTGTGCTTTATATTAGTTGTACTGTGTAGGTATACCTTTTTCCTTTTGCTAAATAAAAATTTTTTACTTGCATTCTTGCATTCTTCTTAAGTAACTCATGTTTTTAATTATTGTAAATCATGCAAAGCTGCCGATCTTAAAAGAGGCCACTTGTTTGGAAAATTTTCTCGATCCAAGCAAGCTTACATTTGTATTACATTGAGGAAAACTACAAAATTCTTTTGCATTATGAACTGAATCAGAGGCAAATTACGTACTTTCAGCAGTTTTCGTTCTTTGCTAATTTCTTTAACCCTTTGTTGCTCAGTATTCCACTAAATGGAACGCCCAAATTGAAATGCTTCTGAAACCGTTAAATTCAACCGTAAATGGATAAAAATGCCTTTATAATATACTTTGAACTTTTATTTTTAAATAGTAGATGGCAGCATATCACAAGGAGACCCAGAATTTTCACCTATGATGTGTTATTAAAATCCACTTATTTTCAAGTAATTTTCTCTATTTTTTGTGATACAAAAAGAAAAAACTGTTTGAAAAAAATTTCTGTATAATTTTAATAGCTGTATATTATTTGTTCTATATATTTTTTAAAATTTTTCATACAAAAAGCATGCACAGAATCATCGAATAAAACAGGGTGTTCCATCAGCGGGAACACTGCACCTTTAGCGATCTCATGCTATTGCGCATCAGAACATCCGTTCTGAGGAGAAAACATCTGTTGTATATGTTTTCTGTTTCTGTTATTTTGGGGAAAAATTCAAACAAAGCAGTATTGAGGGTGAGATTTGTTTGTGCTATGAAAATCCTAATATGGGCATCTTGAAATTTTTGTGAGTTCAGGCAGGACTTTTATCAGTAGCTCGAGTCATCCTTTCAGCAGCTCGAGTCATCACAAAACAAGTTTGTGCAAAACCTGCAAAGTTGGTTTGTGCTTCTATCAAAAGATGTGACATGCTTTGAACAATTTCATGAAGTTAAGAAATAGAAAAATTTGTAAATATTTTTTATATAGGACTTGGGTGTATATATATATATATTTATCCATATATATTCAAGAATATTGTGTATATCCAGAAAAACCATGTATACAGCCATAATACATTGCTTTTTCATTATTATACAAAAGCTTCGTGTTTCGCTGCAATGTTCGCGCAGTCGCACTTTAAGAGCTCTGGCGGTGCACTGTTCCTCCTCGTGGAACACCCACAAAATTCAAATGGTAAGTGCAATATTTACAAAATTTTACATGTATGCTCCTTTAAGCCTAAATAGACTGAATGGAACTTTTTTTTTTTTTGTTGAAATTCCGACTTTAAGGTATAGTGCGCCACGAAGGGTTAACTGCACTGAAACTCGAACCTTACAGAAAGAAAATATCTACATATGTCAGTCAGTTATTAATGGTGGAAATTGTCCAAAATATCACATAGCTGCTACGTCTCCTGGTTTTTTTAAACATCTCTCGATAAATTACCATCTTCTAGTTTTTAATTTTGAGCCTCTGCTTAGAAATATCAGAACAATATGTGAAATTTAATAAATTAATGCTGTTACAAAAATGTTAGTTACAAAAATTAGTTTAGTTACAAAATTACAAAGTTACAAAAATGCTGTTTCTCTACTTCCGGTTATTTTTGGAATAATTTTTCTTGTTAAAGTTTATTTGGTTTGAAGTGTACTTTCCCTTATTACATTTTATTGACTTTTTTTTCATTTGATGTGGTTTCCTTGTAGACATTTGCAGATTTTATATGAAGATTCAAGCAATGTTAGTAAATTGGTTAATATTTGTATTAATTTTTATTTTACTTCCATATATGATATTCCCACAGATATACCGCATTCTTTAGTTATTTTTTCATCTCATTTAAAAGTACTTAAAAAAAAAAAAAAAAAAAAAAAAAAAAAAGCTTTTCTTATCTACTCTGGATTTTTCTCGGTATAAAAGTGAAAAAATTACAAAATGAAGTGAAAGAGCATGAAATTTAGAATATTTAATTAAATACTAACTTTTACGTCAGAATTCTATTACAAATATTCAATAAACTAAATCATTCATTATTATAAGTGAATTTAAGCCAATTTGGAGTTCCTTTGAAAAATGCTTCATCATGCACCATGAATCCCTCCTTTAGTTTCACCTGTTTTTTATCAGATTATCCATGCCTGCATCCGGCCAGAATGCAGGGAGATGCTCTTACAGCCTGTAAAACAAAAGCAATTTTTTTAACCGATAGAAGTTCACGAACAGTTTTACTTGATTTCTTCTTATTCATTCATTCGTCTATCTGAAATAACCCGTGGACAGCCACCTCTTTAGCATTATTATTACAATTCATTTTAACATTGTGTTGCCGGTACTAATTATAATTATCTCATTATGTTTATCTGTTTATTAATTATGTTTATCTCCTATTTTTGTTGAAACAAATCAGATGTTCAATTTATCTTGTGAATCTCAAATTGTATTTCGACTATTTTGTAATCTACTTATGTCCTACATCTTTATTTTTAATAAATACTGGATGCGGGGTGTACTGTGGGATTGCACGATGTACCATAATAGGCAAACTGTAGACTTTTTGGAAACCTTCAGTCTATGCAAATTCTTATAAAACTTCCAATTCACACCTCCCTTTTTTTTCAAAGATTTAGTATGGGAAGGCATTACCAGTAGGCCTATGGTACATCGCAGCTGTCCCCCATACTTTTACCTTTACCTTTATTGTTCTACAGGCCCCAATTAACGCAGAAGCAGTGTTCTTTCTAGGGCTCCCACAAATCGCTTTCCTTGTTTGTTTCCTAGACAAAGGCAGCAGAATAAGGAGAAATTGCACCAAGATGTGCAGCCTTCTGAAACATAAGAACGTAGGCTGGATGTTGTGGCCTAGGCAGCAGTTAGAGCTTGTTGTTTGATTTATTATTTAACATTCTGAAAATTCATGGATATTTTTTAGGCTTTTGTGACTTATAATACACAAAAACTGAGTATAAATTAGAGAATGGTTTTTGAATTTTTGGCGTAAACTTAGATGATTTTCTTAAATAAAGTCATTTCAATGAAGTTAATATGCTCTAAAAAAACAGCTGAATGCAAAGATGTTTATTAAATTTTTATGCATGTATGTGACATTTTTTATGTTACCAGTAAATGATAAATGCAAGAAAAAATTAGACCGACTCTTTTGGCATCAGAGGTGCTGCTAGTCTTGATCCTCATTTTTGTATCCGTATCACTTTTCAAGTAAAAGGATGTTGCCACCAAATCTTGTTGCCATGTAAATATTTTTAAAGAAATAATATAGCGAATGTAAAAAAGTGTATGGCAACACTTAACACTCTATTGGCAATTCCAAATATATGTGCTGCTTTTAAATATTTTGTGGTTTTGCTGTTGAATTTTATTTGGGGTAAGTGTAAAGAAAGTAATGCTTAATAAATAAATTTAAAAGTTAATAATCAAAAGATTAACGCAACGTTTCTCAATCTTTTTGTTAAAAACTAAGTCATCGTACCTAAGAAATCTGAACACTGATATGAGGAGCTGAGAAAAGACTGAAAAAAAAAAAAAAAAAAAAAGAAAAATGTATGACAACACTTAATACTTTACTGGGAATTCTAAAAATATGCGGTTACTTAGCACAACTACCTTGGTGAATTTTTACAATAGAAAGAGGTGATCAGGAATTTTGGTATTGAAACTTGCATGTAAATGGTTATCTAAGAGAATTATTATGCAGATGGTTGCCAGAGTTTGGCGACTTCTACTAAGATGGTTGCAATAATTTATGAGTTCCAAATATGCTATGTTTAAAAATTTTGTGATTTTTCTCTTGATTTTGTACAAAATAAGTGTGCAGAAAACAGAGTAGTAGTTTAAAAACAGAATGGTAAACTGCTAGGTGATCCCCCCTCCATCTAATATCACCAAAAAAAATTTTTAAATACGAATTAAAAAACATGTTTTAACATTAAGATTGATTAAATATCAACTTAAGACAAAATAAAAATTCTATTACTGATTGATGCTGAATTTCTGTAATATATATAGCTTGGCTCAAAAAATATCTCTCGAAAATATAAAGACAGGTAAAGAGGGCATAAATAAACAGATTTTAATACTAATGAAATACTAATGAAATGTTTGTGGGAAAATATGTCGGGAGTAGTATAGGATAGGACATTGTTAAAGCAATTTGCTGGCATAAATTTTCATTCACCTCGTTAATTTTGAACAACATTCTTCGCTCCATAAACGTCGATTTCATCGAATATTTTCGATAAGGTACTGCAGAAGAAAACGAAACATCTTTTCGAAGGAGTTACTCTGGAATGGTTCTTTGTATCTCTTTTGAGTAGCTGCTTCGTTTTATCTAAGCTCCATGATAAAATGCGTATCAGCGAGCTGGCTTTCGTGTACAGATACATAAGTCTCTTTGTAATCATAACAATGCACACTAGAAATTCATGCTAAAATTATTTGTACCACAGAACTACCATTTAGGCATTTCCATGTCATACACAAAGCATGCAAAAACCACTTTTTAGATCAGTAATAGCTAATAATTTTCTAGATATCATGAACTTGTACATATCGGGTTTATTTTTTAACAGCAAAAAGTAATTGGAAAAAAATTTTAAAAGCATTAGCATAAATAATTCCCATTATATTATATTTTATGGAATTCAGGGCCTCTAAGGAAGAATTCTCAACTAAGGCTG